TTTTTGGCTATACTTTTATAATTTGTTGCTTTTGAAAGGGTTCACAATGACAGATGGCAGAGGTGAAGGGACAGGGAGATAAGTGGAATTGGGATACATGATGTGAAATCCACAAAGAATCAATAAAAAGTTAATTTTTTTTAAAAAAAGAACATTATTCTATTTGAGGGATTAGTAAAATGTTAGCCACAATCACTAGTGCTCTTGAATTTAAGAAAGAATTATGTCCAGATTAAGATATCATTGGTTAGAAACATCACAAGTGTAATATGACTGTAAATTAAAGCAAAGAATGGATATTTTTGTCATATACAGTTCTGATTTCAGGATATGTTGTATGATATTGGGGAAATTACAGATGCACATTGTCCATTTTTACAAATATCAAGTATCAGATATGGGGATTGATCTGGAATTGGTTTTTCAGGTGAGATTTCTATTTGAAATCTTCCCTGGGCTATATAAGAAAAAATAAGTTTGTGTGCTAATAATCTTACCTCCTCACTTTGATTTATATTTGTTCCCAAAGCATGTATGATAAAAAATTGGGTGTTTAAGTTATCTGGTCATTGCTAAGGGGCTGCTTATGAAGATGCCAATGTTCATCAATATTTCAGTTTATTTTGTTCAATTTATTTAAATCATGTCTAGTCCTTTGTGATCATACATAACTATAGTCACAGCAGTAAGAAGGGTGAAGTAGAAGGATTGCAAAGTGAAGGTTTTCTGTATAATGCAACGAAGTATCAGAGTTTTTAGTGAATATCTGGAATTTATAGCAAGGAAGACAATGCTGGAGAGGTATCTGAGAGTTCTACATCTGGATCTACAGCAGCAGGAAGAGAGTGAGCCACTGGGCCTGATTTGAGCTGTTGAAACATCAAAGCCCACCCCGGTGACACATTACCTTCAATAATTCCATACCTACTGTATCCAGACCACATCTCCTATAGTGCCATTCCTTAGAGCCTATGGGGCCCATTTTCATTCAAATCACAATGACTAATGTTTTTTGCATGTTTGAATAATATACATTATCATGGTATTAAATGTTTTCTTTCAAGCTATCTATAGACTTATAACCTTTAGTCTTTCTGTGTTCTTCACGTTTGTGAACAAAACGTTAATCTAGTTTAAAGTTATATGTAAGAAAATAGCAAAAAAAACCGCATAAGTTCAAATTACTAAGAATTTACTTTTTTAAAAAAAACTTGGTTTAGTTTAATGTGACATTTTTTAACCTTTGTAGTGGCACAAATACATTACATACTCTCTAGGTAAAGATTGATACATAAGACTGAATTACAAGAAATTAAAATCAACACCAAATTATATGACTTAGCTGCAATGTCCTGGAAAAAATTTCCATAGTCATTGAATCA